TTTATTGGGGAGTAATATCTCTTTGTATCCTGATTAAAGGCACAGCTTTGTTTAGGCGTTCGTTCCCAATACTGTTTCAGTACCTATTACAATTAACCGGTGCAACTTGCCAGAACGGATTACAGCGATTCGCAGACAGCAATTGTGTCAAACGTTTAACTGGCAAACGTATTATTCCGGTGCCGGCTCCAGCTGTGGCTGGTCTCGTGTACCACTATCACGAGCTGTGGCTACTCTTGTGTACAACTATCACCAGCAGATATATCTACCAGTATTTCCAGTCATATTTCTATTCTCATGACCGAGCAACCTGTGCAGCCGACCTTGACTCGTAACTCGCGCTCTCTTCTGTGGTCTGGAAAAAATTACTATCGTCCAGCCCTCTTTTGCTAACAGCCGTGACGCGCTTAAAGCCTTTCCCCGTGCAATTATTGAGGCGAGTGTCTAGGCTTTATAACGCGCACCAAAGTACACGTTATTGAATCATTCGACGGCTCTACAGGTTGGCTCAAAGATGGGCCCATAAAATTTACAGCTGTATTTTACATCTAACAAGGGTGGTTTACGATCGGAACGAATATTTTCTAGATTCTGCCTAGTGCAAAATGTATAAAACCAAGGTTATAGTACGAGGGTCATTCAAGTATAAACCGGAATTTTGTTACAGAAATAGATATAAAAATGCAAAAAAATCGGTCTGTTCAAAGTTCTAAACTGTACTTACACGTATCATATAAGTAGCTGATAATATGAGATTTGATACCATACTTTTATGTGTAGTAGAAATATTTATTACAGGCAAGAATAAATGCTCCAACAAATATAACATTAATTGAACCAATTGATTTATCTCTGTATGTTTTATTCATTTCTCTCCTGTCAAACAAAAACGACAGAACATTCCTGGTTGCTTAATACGAGAGTCATTCAAATGAAAACCGGAATTTTTGTACGCAACTTTATTGGGGATACGTACCTTTCTTCAACAGAAATACATTTTCTCCATCATATAGGAAGCTTTCTGATCTTATGATAGAAAATAGAATTTGGCTGCCCCAGTAGTCCATTGCAGTATTATTTTCTGATCAATTGTTCTTTGGGGGTTTGAGAGGCATTCTCAAGCTCTCAAATATGGACAACGTGATGAGGTGTTATAAAATTATGTTTTTAAATAGTAAGAGACTTCTGGATGTTGTAACGATGTTTTACAGAATGTAAACAAGCTTCACAGTCAAAAACCAAAAGTCCCAATGAAAGGTCATCGTCCGTTTGCCAAGTAAATGTGATATAATCAAACTTTAATTAAATATAAATTCTAAATTAAACGTGACAGAGAATGATATAGGACGCGTTCTGATCCCATCGTAGAAAATAGAACTTAGCTGCCCCAATAGTCAATTACGCACGTACAATTAAACTTGCGAATCCCTTTGAAGGAGAAGGGGAGGGTTGTTTGGACCATATCGCGATCTATAACGCATATGGGTCCATCACTATACCCCAGAAAACAACAGAATGAGTATGGGGTGGTGGAAAGTTAAAGAGGGGCACTACTCAAGGCCAACACTCGACTGTCAGCTCAGGGAAGTTCTGGTAACTGTGTTTTGGGACTCAAAAGGTGTATTGTTGATTGACTACCTAAATAGTCGATGGACAGTGACTACTACTTCCCGCTCGTGGATGATGCCAAAACTGTTTATCGCAACAAACAACGCCAGCAATTGACTCGCGATGTCCGTCTTTTGGATGACAACGCACGGCCGCATATAGCAGCATTAACTCATGATAAACTCACTAAAATACACTGAATACCTCTCGAATAACCACCTCATAATCCAGAGCTGATTCCATGTGACTAGCATATGGGTGGTACACTGAAGGAGGCATTAAGAGGGGAAAGATTTAAAAACAACACAGCGTGCTGCAGCGGTCCAACTGTACTTGTTCAATTGGTTACTGGAGCAGCCAAATGCTTTTTTTCTAATGGGATTACAAAGCTTCCTATCTGACGAAGAAAATGTGTTTCTGTTGAAAAAAAATACGTAGAAAAATAAGGCACTCCATTTGTATCTGTATGTACCACTAATAAAGTTGTGTACAAAAATTCCGGTTTATATTTGAATGACCCTCGTATAATAAATAATATATCGAGTAAATTGGTTCGATTTTTCACGATTGGTGAACGGTATATGTCGTGATTGGTGGACATACGAGGCCAACAAACGATCCCAACCGAATTCTGTATACCCTTGGATTCGTTCGTGAGGCGAGGGTGAGATTCAATGCAGCGTATTCGTGAAAAGAGAGAATAGCCCTATCGCGTGCTGAAACAATGCCGATTATCCGTTCGCGTTATTGTCCGGAACAAAACAAGAACAACAGGAAGGAACAACAAGGAGCTGGCGATAATGGGCACGGTCTACAGTGACACGAAGGAACACGCGCCATTGTTGTAAAGCTCGACTCGTCGTCCAAAAAAAGTCAGCAATTAAACGCGTAACGAAACTAATCGCGTCAGAACCGTGTTTACAACGTTCGACAAACGATATGGGCGCGTATTGTTTGGTCACAATAATATCCCACGAGTCCAATGAGTGAATGGAAGCAACAAAAGGAATGAATCACGTTCTCGTGACATTCGTCTCTGAACGTTTCGTGATCCCGTGGCGATTGCATCGTTGCAAAACGCAGGGTAGTTTTTTTTCTTTATAGAAGTTTGTCTCCTTGTGTTGTTAGACACGGTGATCACTAGACTGCGGATTTTTATGCATCTATAGAACATCTGAACGTGCAAGAAAATATAGAATGAACACAGTAGCCAATAATATAAAAAATATTGAAAGTAAAGTTCATATTATAATATTTACAGAGTAAAATAAATTCCTATTTAGGTTCAGTTTTTGTAGGTACGTTTACAAAGATTTTATTTTGCATAAAGATCCGCAGTCTAGTGATCACTAAATTGTGTATTTTATTCAATGTGTGACGCAAGCTGTAATAATATAATAAATACATGAAAAACATAATCAAAAGGTGTGTGCACTTATGTAAACGAAATAATAATCTGTATACAGTCAGTGTAGAAAGTATTCGTACAGCAACCAATTTAAACTAAATGGTTCATGTACGAATACTTATTACACTGACTGTATATGTATAAGAATGAAGACCCTGATTGACTGACATATCAACGCCCAGGCTAATTCCTTGAACTTAGACAGCTGAAATTTTGCACAGAGTTTTCCTTTATGATGTATACAAGGAATAAGAAAGGATATTTCGAAATTCAACCCTTAGGATGTAAAATGGGTTGCAACGTACATATTTCACGCGGGTGAAACCGCGGACCACAGCTATCGGAAAAGACAGTCACTTACTGATTCACAGAGGAACATGTGGTTGAATGCGAACGGCATAAGATAACAAATAGTATTCCACCGTTCCACGCCGGTGAAATCGCGAGGCGCAGATTACGTACATTTTTTTGTATGTTTATCATAATACTGTACGCCATAAATGCATAAAATACGTAGTCTAGTGATCACGTACGTGATTAATCAAAGTTACAGATTGTAAGCTTTATTCCATACTCTAGAGATAGAAAAGAAAATTTTAAAATATTCTTCGCCGATAGAAAATTCAGCGATGACAATTGTGATCATCTTTGATGTACTATATATATATAGTTTAGTTTCTTAATATGATCATTAGAGCTTTGGAATCACATAGTCCAATGTTTGGTTTGAGGTGTGTCATGGCGTCGCAACCGGAAACATCAAATTAAACGTGTCCCTAAAGGAAATGGAACATGAGTTATGTTTTTTTAATTTGATTGTTACGCGTGAGAATAAGCTATGATGTCGACCAACGATTAAAACGGAATAAAAGAACGAGGAACATGATCTGAACACGATCTCAGTCATGAACTTGTGCTTGCCTTGATATTTTGGAAATATTGCAAATACACAAAAAAAAAATGAACGGAAACAAAATGCTACGACCCACTACTTTATATTTGGTTGAGTAATGTTCGTATTAACGCTATTACGTAAAAGCTTAGTTGTCATCTTTTCGTTCATTAAAGTTAGTTACATCGTATCATTTTTGACTGATTATTTTGCGAGAAGAAGAGTTCTTTCTTTCACTTTCTTCCACCAGGGTAAGCTCCTATGCCCTAAACAAATTCATAAAATTGAATTGGATAATTTTTATGATTTGCCATATGCTCCAGAGTTCTTTCATTGTCGTTCATTCGAATTACTACAAATTAATATGATATTAATTAAACAAATTTCTGAGGAAGAAACGTACAGAAATAATAAATAAAATAACTTTCCTATAAATCGGGAAGTTAATGACCAAGTAATATAGTTGTTCAACAATTTTATCTCTATTTATATATTTTATCGTATATTTCATAATTATTCTACAAATTATTAATCCTTTTAACACATTGGACAAGATATCGATTCGGGTTAATACAATTCTTAAAAATATTAATCTTAGCACATTCGCGACCGGCAGATATTTTACGTTTCTAATACCGAGTACTGACGAAAATGATAAAATTCTGAAGTTGGACATCGCAAATTTGTATCGTTAGAGCGAAGATAGAAATTACAAAATATGTTTTGAAATATCCATGTTGTAAATATGTCGAGTATAGAATAAAAAGATGTGATAAAAATGAAAAAAATGACGTGAATTCGCGTCAGCGGTCGCAAATGTGTTAATAATATATCTGAATATATGTACCTAAATTTTATTGGAACGATTGTATGAATGTCTCATTCTATTAAAATATTTTCTTTTTATGTAAATATAATTATACTCGCAAATATCGAAATTAACTGAAACGAAATATTAAATATCTATGTATTATTAAATTGAAAATAATAATTTATATTCTCAAAATGGAAATGAAATTGATACTAGAAGCGCGTACCTACATGCCTGAAAACTCGAGTGTTAATGAGCCTGTTTTTTTTATAATGTTACAGCGGAATCAGATATTTGCACGTTTGCTTCGAGGACAGAACATTTTCATATCGTTAACAAACCATCAACGGCGTTATTTACGTCGAACTCCAGGCCGAAGGCCCTGAGGGAATTATACGAGGCCGCTGCCATAGTCGCTGTCAGAAGTTTGGATAGCCTGAGAAGGGATGGCAGTTCCATGGATATGTTCCTCTGCACTCCCGTCCTTGGCAAGAGAAGGCGAGACCAAAGTCTCGACATCGAATCCAGGATCGTAAGTATATTCTTGCGTATTTGAAAGTGCAACCGCGTCCCAGGAGATACGAATTATCAGATTAGCGATTCGTTCTCCACGATAATTGTTTCATTTCCACGACGCGCGAACGTTGGCCGCTTTTAAAGCACGATTCTACGCAATCGTAGTCGCCCAAAAGAGTTTTAGACTGTTTAGAATCGGTTTTCTCACGAACCGGTCATCGATTTTTTTTCTTTCTATATTCTTGATCCGCGACAAGCTTGCGTGTAGTGCAAAAATTACAATTTTAGAAATAATTAAGAAGAGTAGTTGGAAATAAGGAAATTGTACAATCTTACTATTAGGTTTAAAATTGTATATTTTACGCGTACGATAATCGTCCTCGATTAGTTATAAAAATAATAATTTTTTTTTTATGAAAGTCCTCTATCTGAATACTATGCTCATAAATAATAGCATTTTTGACTTTATGAAACATTGATAGTATTTTCATTTTCGAGTTAAATTTTCAATATATTTTCTAACAATGAAGAACGTACATTTTTTTTAAGCGCTAGCGTAGCGTTTTGTACAGTTATGTATGGATTTTTACGAATCAATTTATAAAAAGTGATATAGTTTGTGCTGAAAAGTTAGTTCCCGTAGTTTAGTGGAAGGAATTCTCTATAAATTGCCGGTTTCCTTTTATATTTCGAAATGAGAATACATCCTGTATTTGTAAACACGTTAACAGTGTAGTTGTAAAACATATTTACTTTTCAAAATATTTGGGCTTTTTATACACATATACACAAGGTTCTCTAACACGCTATACGACAGTACAGAAGAGTAAAGCGATAGAATTGACCATCGCCAATGTCTTCGTACAATTTCTATTCAGACCATGCTATTATTCGTTAAAAGTCAAACCTTTTTCATATTCATCTTCTTTCTGTCTCTGTCAGTGTTTGAGAAATTAAATAAAAATTAAATTTCATGTACGACTTCGAGAGTAGTTTTCACCGCCGAACGTAAATAGTAGAAGATATAAAAAATGTGATGTTCCTTGTTAAGTCCTTTAACAAATTCATTTATTTAAAATATAATGTTTATTATTTTGAAATGAATTCCAGGATCGATGTTCTCTGTATGTCTTCCATTACTTTTTTGCGTAATTATTGATATTCCTTGGCAACGTATTTTGCTAGTTGTAATATAAATCCTTTTGACGTGATATATTATCTTGAACTTTATTCTGCTATAAAATCGATTCTTTAATACCAACTAAGTCAAAAATATTCAGAGCAACATATTGAAAAGTCTGCAATAAATTTAGTTTCGTTATAATATTTTATTGTTATGGATGATTTCTTGAAATTGTTTGTGGTTTCCACAATTTAGTTCTTTGTACTTACAATTAGTATGATTTCTTTTATGTTTGCACTCATAAATTGTATTTCTCATTAAGGACTTAGAGGGTAGTTTTCACCCCGGAACGTGAATATTAGTTAATATAAAAAATGTGATGTTCCTTGTGAGTTTCGTATCTGTAGGACTTGGTACGTACACATAATTCCATTGATATGGACAACCTGCGGTAGGATTGTCCTGTATAAACAGGTTCAATGGGAGATGTCATGGGACGCCGTGTACATTAGAATCTACACGGTGGTCCCTGTTGACCGCATCAACTACTCTATAATGATACGTATCGTTAGTTTGCATTGTCGTGTCGTTAATGTACCAGTCTCTTAATAATGCACGCTTCGCTGTGACTCATACCATTCGTCGTGATTTATTCTGATCAGGAACGATTATCGGGCATGTATCTTTTCTTTTATTCTCTTTCGTTTGCAGTTTAATTAATTGCTGGCTGAGCGTGTCATATGTAATTTCAATTTTCATTAAAAAACTGATTGTCAGTTATTGGAATCGGGGTATAACGAAATAATAAAATACTAATTCTATTAATTAAAAGTTTTGATTGTACTTTTAAAATGTCACGAATAAGCTGATATCTGGTCTCTAGAAGGAGCTGGTTAAGAGTAATAGACAAACGTTATAAGTAAAAGGTAAAAAGAATTTCGAACTGTATACACTACTGTTTTCAGACATCTGTTTAGGCTGTAGGAAAATTCTGAATGGCACTTAAGAGGGCTGGCCACATCCTAAATTTTCTTTTTTCTTCTTCTGCAGTGACAGATATATACATTATAACATACAGGGTGTCCCAAAAGTCGGGGAGGAGCCGGAAATGGGGGGTAGCTGAGACGATTCTGAACAACAATTTCCTTTGCAAAAATGTCGGATGGGGCTTCGTTAAGGAGATATTAAGCGAAAACCCTGACCAATCAGAGCGCGCGTAGCCTTCGCTACCGCGGCCGCTCCAACGGTCTACGCACGCTCTGATTGGTCGGGGTTTTCGCTTAATATCTCCTTAACGAAGCCCCATCCGACATTTTTGCAAAGGAAATTGTTGTTCAGAATCGTCTCAGCTACCCCCCATTTCCGGCTCCTCCCCGACTTTTGGGACACCCTGTATATTCTCAGTACATTTATTCTGGTAGTAAGATAAGAGGCTGAATTATAATAAATATTCCAACATCAGAGATTTGAGTTAATAAATTTGTATGAATTGTAACGCCTGTTGAATGGCATGATATTCACATGCGAAAATGGCTATTACTTTGGGAAATTTGTAAATCGGTTCTTGTTGTACAATCACCTTCTTCATTATTCATGTACACAGCTGTGAATACGTGTTCGTAATTTCTATATTCGTAGGCAAATACCAATTGTTTTTTTTTTTTTTTAATCTGTTTTACAACATCGATTCTCTGGCGACCTACCGTTGGCCGCCTGATCCTCCACTGAATCGTGATTCAATGTAGATGAGGTAGCGGTCGCGTAAGCATTCGAAAGCCGCGGCGGTTCTTTTCCACTGATAAAAACGACAACGAGGGGAAAAAAAGCGAAGGGATTTTGTCGCGTTTGGTAATTCCTTTCCTCGAGGAGATAAAGCACCATCCAAATAGAAGATAAAGGCGACCCAGATGCTTCCCTCTGCGAATATTCGAGAAATTGGCGATTATCGAATACACGGAGATAAAACTCGAAGCAAAGAATTAAACAAGCGCAAAGAGTGAACGCGTCCTTGATCAGTCCTTGATCGATGGGATACTTTCATTATTGTTTTAGTGTAACTGAAAACAAAAAAATAAATACAAACATGGATATGGGGCATTTCACACCAAATCGGACGGTTTAAAAAATTTTTGTTTTTGATTTTCCTAATTGTTTGGTATTTTCTAATACTCCTCAAAAGAGGCTTCCTGGTAAATTTCAAGATTTTGCTGTTGCTGTTGTCTTAAAGAAAAGAAAACAGCAGTCGAACGATCGATTTTTTAAAAAAATATCACCTTATAGAGGATGATAAAACGAAACTTTTTTATATATACGGTTTATTAGTACGACGTTTACTTTCAGAGATAAAAATTAGAAACTTGGAAGATCTATTTCATGGAATTCAATTTTTTCACCGAACTTCTAACTTTTCAATGTTTATTTTCAAAACTAAGCATCCTATGAATAAACTGTAAATATAAAAAAAGTTTCGTCACATTATCTCCTATACGCTGATATTTTGTAAAGTTGATTTAATAAATACAAACATTTCTCTGAGCCCATATCTCGAGAGCGTATATATACGCCCTCCGCAGTCAAAAGGTTAATAAATATCACTTCTGGAATTACAATTCTTCTATACCATCAAAAGTCATGCCTTTATTTTTGTTTTTAATAAAAGTAATTAAATTTATTAGGTATTTTCTAATCAATCATTAAGAAAATTATTCTAGTAAATTATTAAGAAAAATCACCTTGGTTGTTGCACTTAGTGTTAGTACTTGCGGGTTGATGGCTAATGGGTCTTAAAAACTGTGAATCTTAAAATGAGTTTTAACTGTAGTTTTATTAATACCGGTTTCGTATAGTAGATGCACATTTACAGTGTTACGTTGCGTGTTATCCGAGCCAGTAATGCTCGTACATGGAAAGCTAATAGCACTAAAAGCACACGAAGCGATCATTTATTAGTAACAGCACCTGGTCAGTCTAACAGGATGAGTCATTTGATAACTCGTGGAGTTTCGTCTTCTTTTTCCTTTGCATCTGTCAGAAATGAATCAACTCCCTTTTCTAATAAACGTAGGCTGACTTTCATATATCCTGTCAAAAGTTACTGTAAATGACTGTCACTTTTGAAAGGTAGATTTAGGAAGATAAAATATGACGGCTTGGATAACTTGATTGTCGAAGACGTCCTTTGACAAATTCATTCATTTTAAATATAATGTTTATTATTTTAGAATGAATTCCACGATCGATGTTCTCTATATATTTTCCTTTTCTTTTTTGCGTAGTTATTAATATTCCTTGGCAAAGTATTTTGCTGGATGTAATACAAATCTTGCCGTGATTCTTTTTCTTGAACTTTATTCTGATATAAAATCGACTTTTTAATCCTTTGCACTCCGACTTTTCGGTTTCCAGTACATTTTTGTCGAGTATCACTCGACATAGGATCGCAAAGGGTTAATACCAGCTAAATCAAAAATATTAAAAATAACATATTGAAAAGTCTGCGATAAATTTAGTTTTATTATAGTATTTTATTGTTTGGGTTGAGTTCTTGTAATTCTTTGTGATTTCCACAATTTAGTTCTTTGTACTTACAATTAATATGATTTCTTTTTTGTTTTCACTCATAAATTGTAAGAGTGTAATTATTCGAGTTGTCAACTAAAGTAGAGAAACACGGTATTGTGCCTTTTCTTATATGTGCGACTTTTAGCAATTCTTTTTTTTATACTCCGAATGGTTTCAACTAATGTCTTACATTTGAAAAATACGTGAAAACATTATACGACGTAACGTTTCATTCACATCCATAGAATGACCATAGAATTCTCTATTATTTAATCACATGAATTCTCTATTATTTAATCACATGAATTCATAATTTCGTTACTATTTAGACATACTTATTTCTCGCATTCTACACTCGAAATCGTCCACACATTTATCCCAACCTATTAAAATAAATTGTCTCCCGCACCAAGCACTCTCTTCTAACATCCTATGTTACGCTTAATTTTATCGACAACATAATTCCTGTATGTAAAAAAGCGTTGTCTTGGCAATCTATGAACGCATTAAAGAGTACGACTGCTAAGGTTCAACATCGTTTTAATGCTCTTTAAATCAAACCCTTCCCATCAAGTTGACACGTAGCGACGATTATGAATCCTGATATAGTTGATCCATTTTCACCTTGTTCGTAACGAGTGCACCAGGTAGAAAGGGACCAGACTGTAATATAATCCGTTCCGTATTCTGTGCGTGAAACCCGCTTGGTCACGAGGTGACATCCGACAATGGTTGTGCCCACGCAGGCCCGTTGCGCGTAAAACACGTCGGTTGGTTTTCGCCGCAGCGTCAAGTTTCTTTGAAACAGAAGCAATGTAGCAGTACCTCCTCCCTCCCCCTCTCCCCTTATAATACCGTTCCTCGGTTAGAATCGAAGGAGGAAGTGCGCCGACTTTATTTCACGTATAATTCGTCGTTGCAGCCGGCCGCTATCGAGGATCTGCGAAGATGGACATCCACCGAGGCGCTGGGGGACGTTACCGTACCGCCGGATTGCATGTCCAGGATCCTGGGAGATACAACGGACGACGACGCCGTCGATCACAAGCTTCCCAGCCCCGAGGAGCAGGTTCAAGCTATCGCTCTCAAGTAAGAAGGAAAATTTATGCCACCGTAAAGATAATGGATACGAGCAAACTTTTATCGATCACCCGGATTGTAAATTTTCTACCGTCCAGCGGTACATACCATACAGAACCCCTGCATCGTTAAAAGCCGTGATCTACAACTCTGAAAAGATCAATTTTTTCTTAACCCTCTATGGGCCCACGTAACTTTCAGATTACATGCTAATGTATCGCTGTTTTACCAAATAGTTTTCCCAGAAGGTCACGTATACGTCTTAATTATGAAATATAATGTTTCTGATAACTATTGACAATATTGATGACGGCTGGCGACAGCATCAACATTAAATATCAAAGTAAATGCCTTGCAAGTTGTCTGCAGAAGAAAGTTTCGCCCATAGAGGGTTAATGTATTTTTGAAGTTTTATGTACAGTGGATGTAGAAAGTATTCGTACACCGATCAATTTCCAAAAAAACTGTGTAAAATTGTAATTTATTAACTTATTTTTTGTATTCAATGATATTCTACATATTCTCGGAAATGTCTAAAATAGATAGATTACAAAAAAGATAGCTATTTAGAGCAATAAACTAATGTGTTTACGTTACAAACTCTGCTGTAAATGGTTCGTCATAAGAGTCGTACAAATACAAATGTTGCTTCTATACTTTTACCTACTTTTCGCATATTTTTTGTTAATTTCACAAATTATATTAACTAGTAAATGTTTGTTAGACTATATCTATCTTAGAGACTTCCGAGAATATGTAAAATATCATTGATTATAAAAACAGAAGTTAAGAAACTACAATTTCGCACAAAAGTTTTTTGGGAAATTTATCGGTGTACGAATACATTCTACATCCACTGTATAGGAATCATGTATCAAAAAACAGTTTGTCAAGATGCGAAACATTGGCAAAATTTTAGGACTTTTAATCAAAGTCTTTACATGTTAGAACACTGTATCACTTTGAAGTCATTTCTGTTGAATACGCGTATTTTAAACTGGTCATGAATTCATTTGAATATATAGTTAATTAGCTGGTTTGAAAGCAACGCTTTTCCTCCGACTTGATTTACAAATTCTGAGATTTCAAATTGAAAACGTATTTTTATCAAAATAAGACATAGCCTATGTTACTCAGGGATAGTGTAGCCTTTTATTACTGAACAATTTTTAAAAATCGTTTTAGTAGTTCTGGAGATCACTCCCCACAGACAAACAAACAAACAAACAAACAAACAAACTTTACCTCTTTATAATATACTTAGTATAGATTGAATGCAAAGGTACAGAATAAATTTCTATACTAAACATTGTGTATCGAACTTCCCCTTAACGTTGCGGTTGATCCGTTATATAGAATTGTTATTCAACTTGAAAAATTTGAAAAAAAGAAAAACTGTTCATGGGAGACAGGCAATGTTTTGGGAACTTGCGTGTATTTCACAATATAATTTGTGTCGCAGATTTCCAGCGGAAATTGTGGCGGTGGACGTCAGCGGTAAAGGATTCCAGAGGATGTCGATGCGGAGAAGATCTCTACTGTCCGGTCCGGAAAGTCAGGAAACAGCTGTGAAAAGACGGTCGAGACCTCGCCGGCCCAGAGGAAAGAGACGAAACACGATCGCTGGTACCGATCAGAAGGAAATTCGCCAGGCTGTCGGAGTGTGAGTCGCATCAAATATCTTCTTTATCGCGAATATACCAATGCCGACAAATACAAATAAAATTACACAACAGGTTATTGCACAAGTCGCCGAGTATAGTTTCAAGTTTTCGTTAAAGTAAATGCTAAACTTTATTATCCATTTGCAAAGTTATGTGTTAATGATCCAATAATCTCATAATCCAGTGTAGTGTTAATGAATTTCAATTTACCCAAGTCGAAGTACCTGTTCTTTAAGTAGCTATTTCAGCATAAAAATAAATGGGACTCCTTTGTCAAATTCGATAAACAGATTCTGCATAATTTGATATTTGTTCATTTATTTTTAACATGGGAAATTAGTGGGCGACCAAATACAAAGAACACTTAAATGTCTTGTACCATGAACTGGAAGAAAATACGCAAAAATTTACAAAGTGACCTGATACACAATAGCGTTGTCGATATAACGTGCGAAATTTGTATATACATTGTTATTATTATTAAGGGGAAATCTTCTAGAACAAGCAAGGCATAAATACACCATAAGGAGTACAAAGTAAAATTAACGAAAAAAGGTATAACTGACGGATGATAAACCAACAAGGAAAATTCTCCAAACCGAAAATTCCGATTTTGATAAAATTGCACATATTTGTCAGGAGCCTATCAGGTTTTTATTGTAATCATTTAGTTTTGCCTACTTTAATATATATCGATAAATGTAGAAACACGTATAAGGGATGTTTTCACCCTGAAGAAACAAATTGGGACCGATAATAAAAATATCTCAAAGCTTCTCTTAAGGTGCCGGACAAGTGTGCACGTTTAAAAATAAAAATGGAACTTTCGGGTCGACGAACTTTCTTGGCGAGACTCGAGGGGATTTCAGATCGCTGCTTAAATCGTATACACCTCTGGTACCCTTGTAGTCTAATTTTCTCACACGTGTACACCCATAAGAGACAGCAAAAATAAATTGTAGTAGTTTTCACTGTAACGAACCCACCAAAGATCACTCGAATTCACGCATTGAGTTGCAGGAAAGATATCGTCGTTGTAATCATTAGTAAGTATATTCATACGATTAATACAATGAAATAAAATTCCATAAAGAGTGTAATGCAGTTCCAAATACGATAAGGCGTGCTGTGTGAGATTTGCATCCAAAAGTATTTAAATGCGATCGATTTAAAAACCTACGTCGCCACTTTTATTTTCAGAGAAACGACCGGCGAAGAAGCGGAGGAAACGATATCGAACATAGCGTCAAGGACACAACGGTCGGCGAGTACGGACATCCTCGGCTCGTCGAAGAAGGATTCGCCGACAGAAAAGAAGTCCCACTTCAACACGTTGAAGGCGTGGGGCATGTCGAGGCTGAAACTTATCAGCCCCAAATCCGCGCAACAGCAAGACCAACGGGAACCGAGTGTTTCTACTATCGAAAGGTCAGAACAGGATCAAGGTCAGTCAAGATCACCCGAAGAAACAAATATTTACGAAACGGTAACAACCAGGCGCAGGAAGGACAAGTCTCACGAAAGGAAGCCCAGCTCGTCGAGCTCGAGCGGAAAGAGCACCTCGAGCATACCGGTGTCCGTCCCGATCACGGAAAGACAACCGAGCGTGAAATTGCGCGAAAGCGCTGCCCAAAGAAGAGAAAGACGAAAGGGAAGCAACCGCGACGACCCACCGCACTCGAGCTCAGGAAACTGGAGTGCATCCTCCGAAAGTGGTAGGGCGAGTATTGGAAGCGAAACGACGACCACCACCCATCAACCAAGGTATGCCTGTTTCGAGGTTTGAGGATTACATTGGTTTTTTCCGTACATAATGCAGTTCCCTCCTAGATGAAGGGTATAGAATATTATAGATGGATAAGGGTGCCAAGTGTGAAGGAAGTGGCTTGAATAAATATAATTATTTGTAGGGAAACCTTTAGATTAGTTAGCTCGAAGAAAAGTGCAATTCATGATAACTAGAATGAGGTATTAAAAACTCTCTTCGTTTAGAGATTTTTACATTTAATAACATTATGTTGGAGACTTTCTTCGTATAGCTATATAAGAGTGTCAAGTGTAAAGGAAGAGGGTTAAATAGATATAATTAATTATTTGTAGGGAAACCTCTAGATTAGTTAGCTCAAAGAAAAGTGCAATTTATGATAAGTAGAAAGAGCTATTGAAAACTGTCTTCGTTTAGAGATTTTTATATTTAATAACATGACGTTGGAGATTTTCTTCGTATAGCTATATAAGAGTGTCAAGTGTAAAGGAAGAGGGTTAAATAGATATAATTAATTATTTGTAGGGAAACCTCTAGATTAGTTAGCTCGAAGAAAAGTACAAATCATGATAAGTAAAATCAGTTATTGAAAATTGTCTTCGTTTAGAGATTTTTACATATATTATTATTTTACATATTTTATATATTATATATATAAAAAATATATACATTTATATATTATATATATTATATATTTTATATATTATTATTTTACATATATTATAGATTATAGGTTTTTATATAACTATTAACGTTGTATTTAGAACTTTCTTCGCAAAATGTCGAATGCCTAAATTCAAATGCAGTAATAACTTTCATCTCGAATTATACTTAAGGAGTTTAATTAAGCTTAAAGGTCGATGGGTGCTTTGAACTTTTGAGTGGGAGAATACACGTAATTCCTGATTTATGCTATCAGATGACCTCATTCACATTTCGTAAGGAATTAGCCAAACTCACACTGTCTTCTATTTTTGTAGGTTCGTGGATCTGGGTACAACCGGAAAGGAACGGATTCTTCGTTCAAACATTAGTCGTGATTGTAGAAAAAATTTGTTTTTGTATCAGGATTCTTTATGGAAATCGATGATTTTGAAGATTCGTTGGGTATGCGCATAGACTTGTGCTTCGTGTAAGAGAAAGTCACAAGTTGACGTAGTCGTGTATTTGATCGCGTTAATTTTTATGTAGCCTTTTCAAAGCAGCCCGAAGCTTCCTTACTACATAAATAAAATATTTTACATTAAGTATAGAACCATATTCGATTAAAAAAAATGTTATGCACGATTACGACTCAGTAAAAGGTCAGAAAACACTAACATTGGTTCTAGGCTTTATGACCAACCGAGCAGAACATTTTATGTTGCGATGGAAAGGCCAACAGTTCTCGATTGCAAGCAGTTGTAATATGTTTTGAATAAATATACTGTCAAACTTTGTATTTCTCCGTATTACTTACATTTGTGGATGTATAACGAATAGAAACAGTAATTCAGCTCTATTTAATCGAAGATTACACGTACTTGATCCAATCAATCTTTAAAATCGACTTTTTACTTGGTTTGGGATGAAAAATGATTTCCTTTTGTACCACAAATCACGGAACAACTTATTCCCACGAGTTGATATAATATTGTATTAATTATTTTCATCTGAAAAATGACTTTCTTGCATTTTGTTCAAATACAATTTATGTATCTTATATGTATTGTATATTACAATTATATGTTCCGAACATATAACGTTAATTTATAAACAGTCACAGACGATATGTAAAATAATAAAATTAGAAATAATGTCCCCGAACGATACTCCTAAATCTCAGTCCGTTTATTATTAAATTTAAAGAGTTTTGACTATTTAATCCTGGTTAAACGTTAATTCTTGAGTGATTGAAAATAGTACTCCCTTAACTTTACAAAATATATCGCGTTTTAAATCCAGAAAGTCAAAATAACATAACTCGATACGTAAATAAAACAAACCTACATGAGTAGAAGGAAATGTTCGGATAATTTTGTAATGCGAACAAGTTCAAGTTATCGAAGCTTTAAATTAGTTACCTACGTGTACGAAATGGCGGTCCATAAAACTATTCATTTCATTTTTTCGAGCAAGGCTTTATCACTTTAGTTTATAATTCATCGCGAACCTCGTAGTGCGAGGAATATATTACAAAATTATGCACTAGCTACTAGTCTTTAAAATTCAATGTCTTACTACACATATCGTACTTTTGGTGCCACTAGAAAGTGCTAATTACGATCGCCGAAATACTTCAAAATTCCATTTCTTTGCATACATATTCATATGACGAAAAACTGTCACTGTATAGATCCACAACGACGGCCTCGATTGGGACATCGTCCACTTCTTTGAGTCACATGAGGCGATTCAAGGGACGCGACACCTCGGCCTCATCCTCGGTTACGTCGGAGGGCACGTTAACTCCGGATATCATACAAGATATCGCTGTTGTTCCCTTCTCCGACGACGGTGAAACGTCTTCTGTCTATTCCTGCGACACGGAGGGCTATTACACCTCGTTCCATGTAGACTCCGGTTTGAAGACTTTAAGGGAAGAGGAGCCAGTTCCGCAGAGTCCTTTGACAAAATCCAACGACATCAGCTCCGATCCTACCTCACCGATCGTCGAAAACGAGTACGAACTCTTCGGAAGGGGTTCAACGTCGACGACAACCAGTTCCGCGGGCACAGTTTGCACTGCGTTGATGGCACCCCCGCCGCCGGAAAGAAAATCTAGCCTTACCGTTGTCGCTATGGTGAGTATTACGTTTTACTTCTTTTTTTTTTGCTGTTAACATTTACATGTCAATATGGGATCTGTCTGCGACCCCAAGTTCATTATTTCATTGATAACTCGTCGGCTTAATTGAATTAACACTTATCATTTTAGGTAATCGTCTATCTTTATCTCCCTAATCTTTCGTCGTTTGTTTAAACAAAATTAATTTTGCCAAAGGTTCATGGACAGAACCAGACTGGCGGGGAGTCACCAGACAGCGGACACAACACCTCGTCCTCGCCTGTGGAATCAGCCTCGAGTCCAGCCTGCACGGGAAGGTCTTGCTCGGAATTCGAATACTCCGAGTCCAGTGATCTCGAAGGATGCGAGAGAATCGAGAGAATTCGCTCAAAAACGGCAATCAATAGCAGTCGAATTCCGTCCATGTGCGTGATCACGCCGCCAGGTTCGGACGACGAGCATGCGAGCGAAACGGACCAAACATCGAAGAAAACCGAGAGCAGGAAAGCCGATCTTCAAACCGGAGGTTCGGTTCTCATGTCCGCTACCGTTGGAACCTCCAAAATGGAGGTGATCAATGGACAAGATAAGAACCTCTACGCGACAGTTCAGGTGTTACCGTCCCCGGCAATCGATAGACCCGCGGTTGGACAGACGTCAACGAAGATCAGTCCACTTAGCGGAGTTTTGGGCAAGCTTCGCGGTGTGCTTCCAGGTAGGAAGCACACGCCGAAGAGTGTGGTTCCGGATGAAGCGATCGCAGACTCCGGCGACTATGTCACCATAGCCGACGTGAGGAACAACAACGACAAACGTCAGGAACCTGGTGCGTCAGGGAGCACGGCTCTTGTTCGGTCCTCGACTACATATGCGAACACCGATATCTTCAAGAAAGACGCCGAGTACGTTAGTCTAAGCGAATTACCAAAAAGGCCGGACTCCTCTCTGGAGAGGAAGAGACAAGGTGCAAGAGTCACGCTGGATTCCGAGGGCAAGGTTGTCTACTCGTCCGACAGTTTGAAAAGAAGAAAAGGAGCGCACACTACGTTCAACCCAGGTATGTTTGGTTCATTGAAAATATTGGGTCGTCCTAAAAGTTCATGTCACTTGTACTTTTGCTACTCCAATTAATATATAACACCTACTCTGAAGTGTTATAAAAAGAGGTAATCTCTCATTTTCGTTATACGGTCATTATAATATATCTGTAGATTTTTTTTTAAATATTGAAACAGTCTCCAGTATGAATTTATGGGATGACCCAATAGTATAAATGATTACAAGTTTATACTTTTATGTACATTTTTACGCAGAATTCAATGGTATAAACAAACAAATGTTTAAACAATGTTTAGGGGATTTTTCGATCAGACTTTTTTTTCAAATAATTTTTATTCAAATGCATATATTGAATGACCGTCGTACTAACGTGTTATGGTGCAGCATTTTACTTAACCCTTTAAGCTACAACCACGTGTGAGACTCGTGGTCGGATATTCCGGCCAAAAGTGATTATCGCGTGCCTGGCCCGTGGTGTATTGTTCGGGCCAAATGTAAACGTCACATTTTGGCCCCAGCCTGTTGGAGCTTAAAGGTCTATTTACACATACATCCGTAACGTGTCAGTTCCGTTATGTTCCATCAGTGTCAGTGATTTTAAATATTCTTCTGTTTGTTTTGAATGGGCATGCTCACACACTTCTGACACCGCTCCGTGACGTTATTGATACGGTACGGATACGGAACTGACACGTTACGGATATGTGTAAATAGACCTTAAATCGTACCTTAAGAGGTGTTTGAAAGGTTCTGAAGATATTTCTCCTCTTCATGTATCTTGTATATACACCGAATTCCAGGTCCGTTCGTGAGAGAAGGAGCGTCGCCGAGTCCATCGCCGCTGTTGCACCGTGCAACCCCGAACGTTCGAGCAGTCGCGAGGACCAACGACACGGTGGATGGGTCAAACAAGTCGACGCCACCCACTTCGCCTCAATTAGGAAAGCTGATCATCAGAGCAGCGCGGAGTCCCGAACGAGCGGCCAGTCCGGACTACGTTAGAACGCCGTCGACCGTGGTGGGACCCACGAGTCCAACGACTCCTCATCGACAAGTTCGCGGGGCATACGTCAACGTGCAAGACGACGAAGGTAAGACGGCTTCTGGTACGAGTTCTGACGAACGTGATTGCACTGGCTGCGTCGGTAGATTAGAAGCACCATTTACGTTTGCGAGCAATTCTCACTGCAACGGCGAGGTGAGCGCAACCGTGATCGCCAACGGGAGCCCGTTGCTTTCGGCCAAGAGCACATGTCGAACGGCTGCTAGGACGACGGCACTGGCACCGAGTAACAAACTCCTGGATTTTAACAAATCCAACCACTGCCCTAACAAAACGTACGTAGATAGGTTAACGGATGCAACCGCTTGCGATGAGAATCACCCTCTGGAGCTCGCTAACGATGGCCTCGGCGCGCAGAGAGATCATCGAATTGTAAATAAAATAGATCCACCGAAAACGGACTCCAAATTCGACTTTGAGAAGTCGGCCCTGTGTCCGAAAAATCTGAGGACGACGGGCAACACGCCGAAACTGAGTAGGAAATTGCTAGTGTCCGACCTCGATACACCTAGCTTTTGTAGGAAAGTCACCAAGGTAGATTATCAGTGCGACGACCGGGGCTCTTTAGACGTTAAGGATAACGAAAACCACGCGAAAAACGCAGACGAATCCTCGTTATCCATGCCCATAGGCGACAATTGTAGCGCATACGATAGAGATACGATTACAGATCCCTCGGACGTTTCAGAGACGTGTCCTGATAGCAGTTCTGCGAAGAAATCCGACGCGTCCAGAGGCGATAGGGTCGAGCGTAAAGTAAAACGAAGCGAGAGCTATCGAATGGCGAACAGTCCGATAATGTTTATCAAAAAGTTCTCTAGCAACATGGACAAATCGTCCAAGATATGTAGGACGCCTTCGGAGGAGCTGCAGGAGGAATTGTTGAAGGAGAAAATCAATTATCCCGAGACGATTTCTAGCCCGGAACCTCGAATCGATAGGAATGTGAATTTTGATATAAATGTAACGATTTCTGTTCCTATCGCGACTGTTCCAAACAGTCCCCGACCTAGAGCCATGGATATCGAGCCGGCTAGAGTACTCAAATATTCCGGAAACGACACAGAAATTTGGTGATCCGTCGTATAATCGCCCTGCTCAAAGGTACAACACTTGAAACAGACACAGTATTATAACATCCAGTAGACCTCAACTTGTGGATGCATCTGTTTTATAAGAGAAGCGAAAGTAGCACTCTGTGAATTCCAAATCTGTTGTCTTGCTCCCTCTGTACAACATATGTCTGCGAGAACAGCAGAAACATTGTCCATCATAGTTCATTCCATGATTTTACAACTATTGGTACGAACAGATGATTATAAAGCCATTTGTATAATAGTAAAATGGAAGCTAAATCGTCTTACAAAAGTATGTTACGTTATTCCTTTAATATAGGACTGTGAATATGATACCATCGTGAATTTACGCATATCAATTTCGATGATGCTCAAACTACTAGGTTACCTAGAAAGTTCGTGGCAATTTTTAAGAAAAATTCAAAGGCACATTTGAATTTTGATATATACACCGTTGCTCATAAATATGTGGAAACTTATCGACTTTCAATGAATAATTAATATACACCGTAAATTATAACTATACCACTTTTGTTGCTAAATTTTATATTGGATGTGTATTTAACATCATTTAATAATATTAAATGTTTTGACTGTCGTATTCAATTTTGTAGTGGAACTATGGGATCGTTTCGATAGAAAAGTTCAGAAAGAAAGTTCAATATATATGAAACACACTTATGGCGAAATATTACAAAATAAATGAGATAATATTATTTCGAATACAATGAAGAAATTAATACTATCCAAGTTTGGTAAAAGAAATGTTAACATTATCTAGTTATCTGTATAGTTTTTATCATTACTTATGTGATATTAAAAAAAAAACTATTAATAAAATATATTCCCTAATGCAACATAAACATATCGAAAGATAAGTGATATAACTGATATTAATAGATTCGCAACTTTTATTAGATATTTATTTCTATTAAGGAAGTGTCCACATGCTTCTGAGCGAGGGTATATTTATTGAATTTACATAGGTACCATTTTGTTCCACAACCATTCCACCTTTTAAGGAAGGTATGTATGTTATTTGTTTTCAACCATTCCAATATATTCAGACCTGTGCCACCTACCAAAAATCAACATGGGCTTTCTACACAACCCGATATTATAAGATAAATTTTAATAGGGTTCTAAACAACATAAATATCGAGGGAGTTCAAACTAATATCAATATCTATAGAGTTCAAACTAATACCAATGGACTTTTGTACCATTGTTGTGTACATTAGAGTACACGTGTAATCACATAAGATACATAACTTAAATTGTCACCTTTGACTCTTTGAGGCACACGATTTAAAAGAAAAATAAACCTCAAATTCCACAAAATTATTGACTCATTTAGTCAGCTAATTAGTCATACTAATTTATTTATTCCAAATTACAGACTTCAAAGTTGTTTGATACTCATCTTTCCAATTGTTACAAATAAATGGCGATTCGTGTAATTTTCATCTTGTAGTCCTTTATTTATCGGGTAAAACCCTTAAAAGCTCATTTTCATCCGATGACCAATTCAGCAGCTACAATAGATCGGACAAAAGTTACCGCCATTTTTCAGACAGCAGTAAAATCGCGAATTATCAAAGTTTTGAACAATTCTTCGGGTCGAGCTTCAACCAATTCTAAAACTAACTCCAAATTGCGTTCGATTTGACATGGGATGACTCATTTGTAAAGTTCAGTACGAACTGACCCGTGAGTTGTTTCATACTATGTGACGAGTCTTTATCGGTCATTGCTTGGAATTCTCCATTTCCGCTTGTCAATCACGTTGAAGCCAACACTCTGAATCGTTGGAACTGTTTCCTAGATATATCTTTCGATATTATGTCATCATAAAAAAAAAGGAACAAAGTGATCTGCAAATTGTCATTCTCTTTGGTGAAATCCATTTGGTATAATAGGCCATGAAGTAGAAAAAGTCCATGACACAAAACTGTGTAAGAAGTCTGGATTGTTGATTATCGACTGCTTTAGCTATTATTGGTCACTGAGACCACTCTTGACCCATGTGACCACTCTTGTTCACGAGGTCGCTCTTGATCGTTCTGACCACTCTTTACCACGTAGGCCGCTCTCGATTATTGCGATCACTGTTGATCACTGTAACCACTCTTGACGATTGACTTTGTAAGATATCGGATAAAAATAAAAAATTCAATTTATAATCCGTTAAACTTTTATTTTTTATTATTTCTAACATTAATTTTAAAACAATGTTTAGAAGCGACTACTACTCACGTTGTACCGTTGGAACTTTCGTTTTAAAATTTTACGCGGCGATTCTGTAGATATTGGTGAATGAAATTATGCAAAGAAATGTTTTCGATTTAATAAAAAGCTTTGAACGGATGGTGCCCTTAAGATTATATCGCGAATGAATTTATTATTTTTATGATGCGAGATTTGGCAGAGTTTTGGATTTTTTAGCCGTAGTGTATGTGTATACGCATATTGGAAATGGGGTTTAATGAAATAATGAGATACTAATTTTATTAATTAAAAGTTCTGATTTTATTATTAAAATGTCACGAATAAGCTGAGATCTTTTCTCTAGAAGGAGCTGGTCAAGACTAATAGACAAACGTTATAAATAAAAAGTAGAAAGAATTTCTAACTGTATACACTGCTGTTTTCAGACATCTGTTTAGGCTGTAGGAAAATTCTAAATGGCACTTAAGAGGGCAGGCCACATCCTAAATTTTCTCTTTTCTTTTTCTCCAGTGACAGATTATATATATATATATGAATTGCACATATATTCTCAGTACATTTATTTATATAGTAAAATAAAAGGTTGAATCATAGTAAATATTCCAACAATATTAAATCAGATTAGTAATTGGCATGGTTTTAAAAGAATTTTTTGTTACTTTCTCCTCATTTGTTACTGGCTAGTATTTAGTTGATATTCCGTATTTTCAAGCAAGATTCGTTTACGTACTTTATGTGAGGAATCAAGAATGAGGCCAAGGAGTTTTATGTTGTTTACATATTCTATTTCGGTATTTTTTATGACAGCATATCTTCTAACGCAATGATATTCAAAAAGACGTCACAGTGTTGTCAACGAGCAGCTTCGACAAAAGCAGTTCTCCTCGCAAGATAATGAGAAAAATCAAGAATTCATTTCTTCTCCGAGACTTGCAGGCAACCTCGTTTCGCAGAAGTCACAATGTTTTCTCTTTGTTCTTTCCTTCGACGAGTAGTTACGTAAAATGTATATGCGATAATTTCCGATAGCGGCGTGTCAGAGCAGAAAATAGATCGATCGTCGGAAGATCTCATCAAGGACCAGTATAATATGATAGGAAGGAAACCGCTGCATCGATGTAGAAGTTATCTGTGCATCACTGTCCGTCAGTGCCGCGTTTTGGCGATGTTAAATGTCAATGCTCATAAAATAAAATTTGCAAATTAAAATTAAATTGACCTCAAAAAATGTTTGTTTATTTAACATAATAATAACGTGCACGTATGCGCAAATACATTAATATAGAGCATCTTCGAAAAAACAATTACAATTCAATAACATTTTGGATTTTAACCTTTCGCGCTAGACGACACTTATGCTAAGCCGAAACAGCAACTCGACCCGATTTTCCCAACACAGTTGCATTAATCGAATTACGTTGCAATTGAATTACATAATTCAAACTTTTCAATTAATTCAATTACTAATTACTGTAATCATCGACCAAATCGAATTATTATGAATTTATGAATAATAACATATCCATCACTGATAATTACTTCTTTCTGGTTGAGATCTTCGCGTAATTTTTCTTCCACCTTTTATTACTTCTCAATTCGTAATTCTGGTTCGTACATTGAAATTGAATGAAACGTGATCTCTGAATCACGAAATACTATGTAATTGAATTACAACGTAACCGAAATTACTTTGTAATGATAATTCATGAAGTAATTCACTTGT